GCCAGGATGCAAACCTAGGCAATTCAGTTTTACCTGTTCTGTATGAAGATAATTCAAAAAGTAAAACACAAGAAGTAAAATAGAAGGAAAAAGCAAATTTATTTTGGTGTAAACAATTTGAAGTCTGTGCATCTTTTTTTTTTTAATTTAACTTTAATTTGAAATTAGGAGAGAGAATATTTCCATCTGCTGGTCAACTCCATCAATGCCCCAGTATGAGCTGGGTTAGAGCTGGAGATTGGTAACTCAATACAGGTCACCCATGTGTGTGGTAAGAAACTATTTAGTTGAGCCATCACCACCTGTCTCCCCCAAGTTTGCATTAGCAGAAGCTAGCATCAGGATCCGGAGCTGTCATCAAACCCAGGTACTGTGACATGGGACACAGGTGCCTTGGTCAGCATCTTCATTCCCTGGCTCAGTAACCACCCCCATAGCGTTTTCAACATCTGCACTTGCCGTGAAACTTGGGCAGGTCCTGTGCAGAAGAAGTTTGTTTGAGGTAAGGAATAAACTAAAAAGAATCAAAAGAGGATTGTAAGTTACATGCCCAATATACCCATGTTAACATTTGAGTTACTGAATGATAAACATTCTGGTTGAGCTGAAAGATATGTATCGGGATCTTATCATATTATCATCACTGATAAAAATCTAGAAAACATTCATGCACAACTCAATGTTCTTTGCTTTTCAACTTTGTTGGTTTGCTCAGCAAATATGGAGTGTTTCCAGAAATTATGAGCCAACACAGGGAAACCAGCTGTCTCAAATAAGGAAATAAAATTTTAAGTATTTTAAAGATTTTACTTTTTATTATTTTTTTATTGGAAAGGCAGATATACAGAGAGGAGAGACAGAGAGGAAGATCTTCCATCCGATGATTCACTCCCCAAGTGAGCGCTACAGCCGATGCTATGCCGATCCAAAGCCAGGAGCCTCTTCCGGGATTAGCCAGGCTGATCACTGTGAGGCACACACAGGGTCAGGAACATTTGCATGAACAAGATCGGGTTAGTCCTCATTTGTGCTCCTCCTGCCACCCAGCTTCTCTTTCTCCACTTGATGGCAGCATTCCTCAAGTCAGGAGCAAAAACAACACATCAAGGCTCTCATGCATGTATCCTGGTGAGTTCTCAGGTACTTGCTTTCTAGACAGCACAGAACATCTCAAGCCTGGAAGCAACAATATTCATTTCTGTTAAACCATATCTGAGGTTGTCATAGTTTTTCACATTTTGTTTTTAAAAATGACAAGGGGGGAGGGCCCGGCGCGGTGGCACAAGTGGTTAAGGTCCTCACCTTGCACATCCGGGATCCCATATGAGCACCCGTTCTAATTCCCCGCAGCCCTGCTTCCCTTCCAGCTCCCTGCCTGTGGCCTGGGAGAGCAGTCGAGGACGGCCCAAAGCTTTGGGACCCTGCACCCTTGTGGGAGACCCAGAAGAGGCTCCTGGCTTCGGATCGGCATAGCATCGGATGTTGCGCTATGCTTGGGGAGTGAATCATCGGACGGAAGATCTTCCTCTCTGTCTCTCCTCTCTGTATATCTGCCTTTCCAGTAAAAATAAAATAAATCTTAAAAAAAAAAAAATTTTAAATGACAAGGGAAATTATTGATTCTGTTTTACTAAAAGATTTAGAAACTAAAGACAACCTGTCATCCAGCTTAGGATTCCAGTGTATTTTTTTTAGTTATTATTAACATTTTCAAGACAGTTAAGCCAAAGTTGAGCTAAATAGAGGACAAGCATGAGAAGATATTTAATTACTGTATCTCCAAGAAGATCCTGCAAATAGGAGAGTGGAGGAGACAGAGGTGGGGAAGGGTCATAGGAGTTTGGTGGGGTTGCAGAGTGGGAGACAGGAGGGAAGACCTGCGTGAAAGACCATACATTTGATGTCCTTCTTTCTTTTAAAAATGTTTAATTTTAATTTTATTTTTTGAAAGGGAGGGGAGCGATAAGAAAAACATCCTCCATTTGCTGGTTCATTCCCAAATTCCTATAAGTGTGAATGGACCAGGCCACAGTCAAAGACCTGAGACCATATCCACATTTTCCATGTGGGTATGGGGCCCCAAGTACTTAAGCTGCCACCTGCCACCTCTCTGGGTGCACTTGAGCAGCAAGCTGGCATCAGAAGCAGAGATAACCTCCCTCCCCTATTCCTGCCTTCAAGAAAATATAAATCATATTCTGGCCAGCAGAGTTTTGTCTTTCTGACTTCTTTGATTTAGCATCAGGTTTTGATCTTCACTGATGTTGTGTATATCCATGACTGGTTACTTGGATTTCTTTGTTTTTCCTTCTTTTTTGCGTGCTTGCTTGCTTTCCATCCTTCCTCCTTTTTCTCTTTCTTTTCTTCCTTCCTTTCTTTTTTTTTAAGATTTATTTTTATTGAAAAGTCAGAGATTTAGAGAGAAAAGAGAGACAGAAAGAGAGATCTTCCATCAGCTGGTTCACTCCCAAATGGCTGCAATGGCTGAAGCTGAGCTGATCTGAAGCCAGGAGCCACGAATGTGAGGAGTGGCTCAAATATTGCTCGAGAGATTGATGAAACCCCACCATTTTGGACCGGCACCACCTCGGATACCTGCTTCCCTTTCCCATGGCCTGCAATTTTTGGGCATTCTTGTTGCCCACCAAACTACTGTAAGCTAAAAAGTCCCCCCCATACACTGTAATCGCATGATGCGTACCTGAAAACCCCACCCACAAATCCCTTGCAGCCCCTTTCCCTGATCTCCACCCACCTACCAACCCTCCTGCAACTCCAACAATCTTAGTCACCAATTTCTCAGGGACCACCCACAGCCCCTACCAACCAGTCCCTCACTCCTCCCCTCCCCATGCCCGCACCCTCCAAGATCCATGTGGAGGGCATAAAATTGGCCTCCACATGTGCCCCCACCCCCTCTCTCTCTCCTCTCTCTCTCCTCTCTCTCTCTCTCTCTCTCTCTCTGTGCCTCTGCTCCCATCCCTACCCTGCTGGAATAGAAGACCTCCTAGGTGCACCAGTGCATCTGCTATTTTGGTTTATTGCAGCAAACTTACTGTGGAAAGAGTTTAGTTGCACAAAGGACTAACAAGGAGATTCTTCCAAGTCTCCCACATGGGTGCAGGGCCCCAAAAACTTGGACCATTTTCCACTACTTTTCCAGACCAGAATCAGGGAGCTGGATTGGAAGTGGAGCAGCTCTGTCTCAAACTAGCATCCATATCGAACGGCAGCACCGCAGGCAGAGAATTAGCCTGACTTGCCACCACGCTGGTCCTTGGTTTCTTTTCTTTTTTTAAATAATTTATGCATTTGAAAGGCAGAAAGACAGTAAGAAAGAGTGTGCTCTCATTCTTTGATTCACTCCCCAAATGCCTGAGGCTGGGTCAGTGTAAAGTGGGGAGCTAAAACTCGGCCTGCCCACGATTCACACGTGAGAAGCAGGAGCCTAGTTCCTCGAGTTGCCACCACTGCCTCTCATGGTCTGCGTTCACAGAAGCTGGAACCAACAGCCAGAGTGAGAATCCAAGTCACCTAGTGCAATACGGCATGTGAACATCTTAACTGCAAAGCTAAATGTCTACCTCTGCTTTTTAGTCCTCAGTAGTGAGTCATTATATGAACACACTACAATTTTGTATCCATTCGTGGGGTGATGAACATTTGGGTTATTTTCAGTGAGGCGGTTTTTACTAATTTCTAAGTCCACTTTGAGGGCCCGGTGCAGTAGCCTAGTGGTTAAGGTCCTTGCCTTGAACGCCCTGGGATCTCATATGGGTGCCAGTTCTAATCCCGGCAGCTCCACTTCCAATCCAGCTCCCTGCCTGTGGCCTGGGAAAGCAGCTGAGGACGGCTCAAAGCCTTGGGACCCTGCACCCGTGTGGGAGACCTGGAGTAGGTTCCTGGCTTTGGATCAGCTCAGCTCTGGCCATGATGGTCACTTGGGGAGTGAATCAGAAGATGGACAGAAGATCTTCCTCTCTGTATGTCTGACTTTCCAATAAAAAATAAATAAATCTTTTTTAAAATCCACTTTGAAAACTCATATATGAATCTTTTAATGACAATATATCTTTATTTCTCTTTTCCAATGTGGCTATGCCTAAAAGTTCTAATCGATGTCTTTGCAACACTTGGTATTATCAGTCTTAAAATTTTACCCCCTCTGTGCTATATCCCAAGCCATCACACGGAATAAAGCCAGACTACCCTCCAGAGAACAGAGTGCCTCCCATCAGCAGAAAGCTGCAAGAAAGAAGCCAGCTGCATCTCCTTATCTATACCCAAGGCTCAGGAATGAAGGGAGCCAGAACACAGGTGAGTGCCCTATGCCCTCAGGATAGTAAATAGAGCATCTCCCACTAGGGTCTCTCACGCAGTTCAAAGACCAGTCTAACCTGCTCTCCCACTGCGCTCTCTGCATTTCCTTCTAGCTACCTTGTTCCAGAAAGTAAGACCTGCTAAGGTTGAAATGCTCCCCCACCACACCAATCTTCCATGTTCTTGGAATTCCCCAAACCGTAGTAACACCCCAAGACGTCAAGTATAAAAGGTCTAGGCTGCTGAAAGACTGGACCTTTGTCATGTGGTCACTCCATCTACTTGCTGGCAGATGGCCATCATCTTTGAATGTATTAATCTCTAATAAATTCAATTTGGCTGTATAGTCACTCTAGTGGATACACAGATATATTTAATAGTGGCTTTAATTTAATTCACATCTCGTTAATCACTAGTGATGTCCAACTGGACCTTATCCAGGTCAGGTCAGCTTTTTATATTGTTTTCTGAAGAGTGATGGGTTCGTTAAAAATTTTTTTTAATATTCTGTTTATTTTCATTTTATCTAAAATACAGATAGCCAGAAATACATGGAAAGATTTGCTCTCTGCTGATTCACCCATAAAATCTCCTCCCCAAAAGCTGAGGCAGGGCCGGGTCAGGGGCTGGAAACCTGACTCAGGTCTTTCATAGTGGGGCCAGGGGCAGGGACCCAGTACTTGAACACTTGCTGTTGTCTCCTGGAATGCACATCAGTTGAGCCACCTGTTGGACCCAAGTACCCCAGTATGAAACATGGCTGTCCCAAAAAGCATCTTGACTGCTGTGCCAAAGCTGGCCTGAAATATTAGGAAACAAAAAAAATCAGAGGAAGCCGCGCCCGGCGGCATGGCCTAGCAGCTAAAGTCCTTGCTTTGAACACGCCAGGATCCCATTTGGACGCCGGTTCTAATCCCGGCAGCTCCACTTCCCATCCAGCTCCCTGCTTGTGGCCTGGGAAAGCAGTCAAGGATGGCCCAAACCTTTGGGGCACTGCGCCCGTGTGGGATACCTGGAAAAAGTTCCTGGATCCTGGCTTCGGATCGGCATAGTATCAGCCGTTGCACTCGCTTTGGGAGTGAATCATTGGATGGAAGATCTTCCTCTCTATCTCTCCTCCTCTCTGTATATCTGACGTTCCAATAAATAAATAAATCTTTAACAACAAAAAAAAAAAAAAGAAAGAAAAGAAAAAAAAAAACCTCAGAGGAAGCCAAGCCAGAAGCATTAGGTGTGTGCCTAATGATTTTCCATTCAAACTCTCCTCAGACTGAACTTGGTTGATGAGAGGAATAAGCAAATGTCAGCATTCTTTAACCTCCCAGAAAGTCTATAAGCAAAATATCTGGGCATCCCCAAACACCATTCTTATAGCCTTTGCCCTTTACTGGTCCATTTTTGCTTTGATTGAAATCGTTTCCACTCAACATCAACATATCAACATCATAGTAACCATCATGCTAATTGTTCTTTTTCTTCAGAAATTGTACCAATTAAGACACACTCCAGCTCTTATTATAATTCTTCATAGAAAAGCTTCAGAGAGACAATGTGTGGCATAGCAAGCTAAGACTGACTGAGGCATCAGTATCCCATATGGTGCCAGTTCACTTTGCAGCAGCTGCATTTCCAGTCTGTTTCCCTACTGATGGGCTGGAGAAGCAGCAAAGGAGGGCCCACATTTTTGAGCCCTTGCATCCACATGGAAGACCCAAAAGAGGCTCTTGGCTCCTGGCTTTGGACTGGCCCTGCTTGTGCTTTTGTGGCCATTGAGGAGTGAAGTAGCAGATGGAAGATCTCTCTGTCTCTGTCTCTCCTCTCTGTGTAAATATGGGTTTGAAGTAAAAATGAAGACGTAGAAAGAAAGAGAGAGAGAGAAAAAAACACACACAAGAAAGACAGACAGACACACAAGAAAGAAAGAGAGAGAGAAAGAAATGAAATTGATTAATTAATTAATTGCTGGAACAGGCATGGTTGGCATAACAGGCCCTTCTACCTGCAATGCTGGCATCCTATAAGGACACTGGTCCTAGTGCCAGTTGCTCTATTTCCACTTAAGCTCCTCATGGACTGAGGTCTTGGGCCCCTACACTGAAGGGGCAAGGATGAAGCTCCTGACTCCTAGCATCGGATTTCCCTAGCTCTGGACATTGCAGTCATTTGGGGTATTAACTAGTGGATGGATGGAAGCTCTCTCTCTTTCTCTTTTCCCATCCCCCTCTCTCTTAATCTATCTCTAGTTCCCCCCACACACCTGATACCTATAACTCTGACTTTCAAGTAAAATAAATCTTTTTTTTTAAAAAAAGAAAGGAAGAAATGCTTCAGAAACTTCTTTGACTTATTCCAAGTTTCTAATGAAAGCCATGCTTTTGTCTGCAGCTGATCTGGGCACAACAGTTTTGACTGTTTCAAGAAGAAAACTGGTTCAAATTTAATTTTCTAATCAGAACTATGTAAGCTGAACCCACTGAAATGTTTAGGGTGATGACTGTTGTTTATTACCCTTCAATTAGAATGTGAACAAAATTTACTTTCCTTGAAAATTGATGTGGACGACCTGCCATTGCAGCTGAGCCTTCAGTTCCATCTTGTCCTTTCTTGAAACAAGTTTTCTATTTGCCAACTGCTGGTTTCTTTGGGGTATTATTTTGCATAAAATTTTTATAAGATATCAGATTATTTCACTAATTATTCTACCCTTACATCATCATAAATTTTACATTTGCTCTTGCTTCAGTGTTAGCAAAATAGATGTTGCACTTACAGGAGCACTTTCCAAATTGACTCTTTACAAACTGGATGCTATTCAAACATGTTGCAGCCTTCTAGTATAAGTTTATTTTGGTACAAAAGCAGAAATCCTTGTGTAATTTTTCATAATACACATTTTTCATGGATGCTTGCTACTTCTCGTATAGGGTAAGCAGCTGTCGAAAATGAAAGAAATATGTCTTAGGCTAGGATGATATTTCTGGAGATAAATGGAGAACAATGAATAGAATAGATTATGTATTTTACAAATGAAATCAACAAGTTTACACTCAGGTTTCTGATTCGATTAATTTACCAGATGATGACTCCATTTACTAAAATATGGACGAATAGGAGAGGACTGGAGATTATACAGGCGAGAAGGAAATCACAAATCACGTATACATTTTAAGTGTGAAATGCCTAGGAGACATCCAAATGGCAGTATCAACTGACATTCAGCAAATGAGCCAGGGATTTTTCAGCTAGTAAATCAGTTGGGGGAAAGGTATTACTGTCAAGGAAGACTGCTGGGTGCTAGGGTCTGTCCCAGATGAAGGCAGCCTTCATTATAGGGAGCACAAAGAGAAAGCCACTGAAAACAAAAAGTGTTATTTGGCTCATCTTACCATGAAATTGAAGAGAGAAGGCATGGTTGAAAATCTGGAGACTGTCATTGTGGCACTGCACGTTAATCTGCTGCTTGTGATACTGACACGCCATATCATAAAGCCAGTCAAGTCACAGCTACTGTACTTCCACTCCATCTCCTTGCTAATGCACCTGGGAAGGCAGAAGAAGCTGAGCCAAGTATGTGGGCCCCTGCCGTCCCTGTGGGCAATCAGAATAGAGTTCTTGACACCTGATTCTAGCCTGATCCAGTGTCAGCTACTGCAGGCACTTGGAGAGTGAACCACTAGATGGAATCAATCTCTCTCTCTCTCTCTCTCTCTCCCCCTCTCCTGCTGTCACTTTTATACTCACTCTTGCTCTCTGCCTCTCAAAGGAATAAATAAATCTTTAATATGTTTAGTGACTTGGGAAAAACGTAGACTTCTTTTGAATACTAACTGGAGTAATTCACATGAAAGCAGCCAGCTCTGTAAATATAGGTTCGTATTATATATGATAGGCATTATGATGAACAATCAAAATAAATGGTACTAAATTGCACTGCTTTCTGAAACACCAAGGACTTTGCTAACAATTTAATCAGCATAAGATTTTTTTGTGCCCTGTTCAGGCCAGCTTCTGTATTGGCCAGATGAAACAGATTTAGACCAAAGAGATACAAAGATGCTGACACCAGTGAGCGCCCATGCGGTGAAGCACAACCCATCAGAATCAATGAATCTCAGCAGATCTTCACCCTGATTGCACATGACCATGACCAACACCACAGATTACATTGGCTGAAATCTCTTTGCCTGTGTTGTCTGTACATCTTGTACTTTCTTTAAGGGCTCATTTGTCAGCATGAGCCCAACACCACAGTAAAGCACATGAGTGATAGAATCCCTTCCCTCCTATAAAATTGCATAGACTTGCTGCCTTAACAAATGTTTTCTTTACTCTTGTGCTATCTTCCTGCAGGACAATTCAGTTTTTTGGAGACATCATATATACTGCCAAACTTTTGTTCTTACAAAACTTCCTTAGGCCTAGAATGTCCCTGTTATTCACCTTCTGGCTAATCAATTATTCATACTTACAGGCTTCAATAAATATAAATTACCATTTCTTTTCAAAACACGAGGTATATTCATTATATCTTCATCTGTATTTTCATTTCAATCTATTCATAAACCAATATACTTATTCAATAAATATTCATAGAATGTTGTAGATTGAAAGAACTCTTTAAGATGCAAATGACAGGAGCTCCAATCCAAGTGGCTTAAACAAACTAACTGACCTTACTGAAAGAGCAAGGAAAAAAGATGGTAGAATCTAAGCATTCAAACGATGCTGTTAGTATTCATCACTCCAGTACAGGACGATTAGGATGAGACCCTAGAAACAAGGATTCTGTGACAGGAAGCACTTCCAGGAAAAGGGGCATGAGCGTACAGAGTAGGACAGGAAAAGAAGATTAAGCAGTCTTAGCCTACACCCAGCTTCAGCCTTTTCCCATGGGGAGATTTGGAGAATAACTAACACCATAGAGTCCATCCCGCCTTGGACCTTCTCTTACGAGTTAGCCAAGGGCTGGGGCTGTGGCATGAGGAAGGCTTGTGCTAATTTTCTCAGGGCAGGAGCACATGAGGAGGCACAAATGGCATCCATAAGCCAGGTAAAATGGCTGCCAGTAGCCCACAGTCATATGCCTGTTGGTCAATCCCAGATGAAAGAGTCCTCCCCCCGCCAAAGGCACTAACCAGAGAGGGCTCTGATGTGCACAGTGATATAGGGGATCCGAGCCAAGCAACCTATGCAGAATGGATAATTCTCTAAAAGTGGAAAGCTGAATGAACAAAGGCAGAAAAGAAATCTACTCTGAACCACACTTTAGGGCATACAATGGTGAGCATAAAAATAAGAAAAACTTTTGCTTTCATTAAGCACATTGGCCTACTTCAGCGCAAGACAGAAACAGAAAGCTTCAGTGAAATCATTTGTAAGGTGTACTACAGGAAGTGTTGCTATCAATGTACTCAATGAAAGGGGATCAATTCACTCTTCTTGGGGATATGTATTTTACTGAGCTTTACATCGTCAATGTTGTAAGGATTTTTAGTGCTCAATAAACGACCATATGCAGCTTGGTATATAGATTCAGGGCTTGAGGGAATACGAACCCTCTCGGGGAGTAGTCATTTTTTCAAGATTTATTTATTTCTAGTTTTTATTGGAAAGGCAGATATACAGCGAGAAGGAGATACAGACAAAAAGATCCTCCATCTGCTGTTTCACTCCCCAACAGCCTAAACCAAG